CTTCAGTTTATAGACTCGGATGGAAGTTATGTTGATCAACATTTTTATATGTTTTAATAAGTAAAGGTTTCGATGAGCAAGAATAGTGAGACTTTGTACTTTGGGCATGGTATCACGTGAGACCAGTCCCTGGGAAAGGACACTTTGTTGGTAAAGTAGAGGGTCGGTGAAAAAGAGGAAGATCCTGGACGATATGAACTGACACCATGGCCATCGCAATGAGTCAAACGTTACAATTGTGCGGATGATGCAGGATGGAGCAGTGGCTTGCTCTGTTGGACACCAGGTTGCTGTGAGTCACACCTGACTTGATGACACATGACGGAGACACAGAAAGGGCTGAGCACCGATCTGTGCCTCCAGGAAAAGAAAAGAGAGTTTCAAGAAGACAACCAGAAACAGTAAGCACATGGCAGAAAAGTCATCATGAGAACGGAAATCAGCAACACCAATAAAAATATCAAAACAATATCAGCAAAACCTTATGTATCAGTAACAGCACTGAATGTCAATGGACAGAGCTCACCAGTTAAAAGAAAAAGACTAACAGAATGCATGAAAAAAAAAGACCTTCATATGCTAAGTACAAGAAACACACCTTTGATATAAAGATGAACATAGACTAAAAATCAAAGGATGGAAAAAAATACCAAGCTAATGGCAGTCAAAAGAAAGCTGGAGAACCAATATTAATCTCAGACAAAATAAACATCAAAGTTAATGACATAATGAGAGGGAAAGGCAGTTATATAATTATGAAAGCTTTAATTGAATAAGAAACCACAATCATAATTAATATATGTACTGAATGAAAGAACAACAAAATACATTAATCAGATTCTTATAGAAATGAAGAGACAGAACATAATAGTACTAGGGGGCTTTAATATATCACTTTCAACTAAAGATCCATCAACTAGAAAGAACAACAAAGACATAAAAAAATTAAGTAAGACAATCACGCAACTTGATCTCATAGATGTATAGCAAATACTTCACCCAACAAAAATTCATTCACTTTCTTTTTTAGCGCTCATGGTAGCTATTCTAGAATATATCATACTTTAAGTCATAGAGCAAGAATGAATAAATTAAAAAGCACTGAGATAATACAAACCACCTTTTCAGATAATAATGCTTTCCAGATAAAAATTAGAAACCAATTATAGAATGATCAGCTTCAAAAAATCGAACAGGTGGAACTTGAACAACAAATTACTCAAGAATCACTGAGCAATTGAAGAAATAAAGAACACAATCAATGTGGATTATGTGCCAATAAAATGGAAAGAAAAAAAGTCAAATGATTCCTTAAAATAAATGAGAACAAAAATAGCAATAACTACACACATCAATAAGATAGAAAGAATTAAGACAAGCCCCTTAACACATCAATTACAACAATTGGAAAAAATGCAGCAAAACAAGCCATAATAAAGATTAGGGCAGAAATAAATTAATCAGAAAAAATTAAACTATACAAAAGATTAATCGGACAAGAAATTGGTTTTTTGAAAAAAATTTTAAAATTGATAAATCACTGGAAAACCTAGCAAAGGAAAAGAATGTGAAAACAGAAATTCTGGAATAAGAAATGAAACGTGCTACTACGGCAGAATCAAGTGAGATAAAAATATAATCATGGAAATAGGCCTACGGTGATCTCCCTCCACCCATAATAAACATAATAACAGAGTGCGCTGGGGAGATGAGGGTAGAAGACCAAAGGGACAGACCTGCCTTGAACGCTGACGCCGTGTCTGCTGATGCCCTCTGATGCACGCTGGACCTGAGCTGGTGCCAACATTTTCTCTAGTTTTGTTGTTGTTCATATTAGGGTGTATCTCAGAGGTGTTAGGTCATTATGGGTCACCCTCTTGAAGTTGTGTTATTTGTTTTTCAGTATATGAACCCCAGGATTGATGAACTATAGGGACAGCAAGTAGAATAACGATTTTGGGGAGGAGGGGTACAGTGACGGGGGTGGGGTATAAAGGGGAGACGATGTCAAGGAGTCCAGGAAGGAAAAGAATGTTTGGAAACTGATTGTGGTAGCAATTGAACAATACTGCTTGACATGATTGAACTATGGGATGATATGATATATGTATTAATTCCCAATTAATACTAAAATTTAAAAACATATAATTATGCAATATTATGAAAAAATGTAATCCAACAAATTTGAAAATCTAGAAGAAATGGATACATTTCTAGAAATACATTATTTACCTAAATTACCACAGAACAATGTGAACGATCTCAACAAGCCTATATAACACAAGAAGAAATAGATCTAGTCATACAAAAAACTCCCACTATCAAAAAGTCCAGTTCAGGTGCTTTCACTGGGGAATTCTATCAAACATTTAGACAGTTGTCAAGGATTTCATAAGACTTGGAATCACAATCAATGCTCATGAAAACAACAGTCTGGAAATTAAATAGCGTTTTGCACTGGGAAAATCTGCTGCAAAAGATCTCTTTAAGTCAAGACAGAGAACCCATCAGAAACAGTAGCGGAGGCAATGGGTCCCTGAGGGCACAGGAAGAGAGGAGAGGGTAAGGGGAAGGATGGGGAGCTGGTAGCATTGGTGACTGTATAACCCACTAGATGGAACCGAACAATAGAATTGTATGTGAGTGGATAGACTGGATTATGTAAGATTTGGGGAAAAACACCCCAAAACTATTATAGGGAAGAAAAAAAAGGAATAAGGGTTCCTGGGAGGTATGGTGGGGGAGGGAGGGGATAAAGGGGAGTTTATATCAAGGAGTTCAAGAAGAACGAAAATGTCTTGAAACTCTGTGGTAGCAATTGTACAACACCACTTGATGTGATTGAATGTTACGATAGCTGTAATTACTCCCAATAAAATGATTTAAAGGGAAAAAATATCTTTAAGGTGTAAAGAGAGCAAGAGGTCCCTTACTCATAGGCACGGGAAAGCAGGCCAATGATTAAGGAAGACTGGAAAAGAGTTAGTGCCTTCGAATGACGGTGTTGGTGACGTCTGTGAACGTTTCATGGGCGGCCTGCCCCAAGAAGGACACGTCTTTGCTGGCAGGCATATAATCAGAATGCTCCTTAGAAATAAAATGGCAGGGCTTCCAGCTCATCTTCTTAGTCAGCAGGAGGACCAACCAGTCCCTGGAAAAGAACACCCTGCTTGATCAAGTAGAGGGTCAGCGACAAAGAGGAAGCTCCTCAACAAGACCCGCTGTTGCGCACAACGGCTGCGACCATGGGTCAAATACAGAAACAACCGCGAGGATGGAGAAGAAGCCAGCCGGCGGTCCCTCGTTCTCTTGTACAGAAAAGTCTATACGACGCTCGGCACTGGACGGTCCCTCACCACAACCTGTGCAGAAGGTCCACTGCAATCATGCTCACCGTCATCAGGTTGATTCCAACCACCAGGGACTCTACAGGATAAAGGAGAACTAACTGCTCCTGGAGGTTTCCAAGACTCATACGCTTCAGGGCTCCCCCTCTGCCATCCTCTCCAGTCTGTTTTCCAGCGGTGACTTTCCTCCAGCAAAGTATCCTCAAGGTGCAATACAAGCTCCTGCGGCACTGGAGGGAACTGCCTTGTGGCCATCCCAAACCAACTCTGATCATGTGATTAACCCTCCCATATACCCTCACATAGTTTACAACTGTTTACAAGGGCTTATGCAGATGGTTGGGTTTTATTTTTTAATCTCAAACTTTACAAAGAAGGTGCACTCAACTACCTTAAGCCTCCAATAGCAAGATTCTATTACAGTCCAAGAATCCCAATTCCTCCTCTGATCCAGAGGGCTTCCCGCAGAAATTGGATCATACTGCTACTTACAGAGCAAGGACTGCAACTCAGGAAACGGATTTTTCCCCTGGGCCTCAGCTGGTATAATCCTTTAACTCACTACTAATCATTGCCAGCAAGCTGATTCTGACTCAACAGTGATTCCAACGCATAGCAATGGGAGAAGGCCTGAGCCTCCCTTTCCCAGAATCGCCTGATTTGGCCTGATGGCCTTGTCCACACACATCAGCTCCACACTACCTGGAGACACCTACCCAAAAAGAAAGAACAAAACCAACTCATTTCCACGAGTCGAATCCAGGAGCCGCCAGGGGAGAGCTATCCCGGTCATTTCCAACGGGGGGGGTGGGTGGGAGGGTGGGGTGGAAACACACACCAACAAAACAAAAAATACACCACCCTTCCGTCAATCCCTGGAGTGGGGACCCCCTGAGAGAACGACCCCAAGACTGCGCCTGCAGGGGGCACAGAGCTTCAGCTTTCTTGGGTTGGAACTGCTGCCTGGAGGTCAGCGGCCACCAGAGCTCACTGAGTGGTCACCAAGTGAAGCGGTCATCTTGCGTCTCATCTAATCGAACCGTGTCGATCTAACATCAGTATTATTTCGTGACCACAATCCTTTTATTTCTGTATCCGTGTGTTAAATGACGATGTGTAAACTACCACGATTCCTGTAACCTCGTTTTGGCACCTGGAAGAGCACATTTGATCGTGAGCCTCAATTCGCGTGGAAATTAATCAAAAGTGCAGTGTTCTCTTTTCTCCTCCTTCTCTCTCTCCCTCCTTCCCTCCCTCTCCCTCTATCCCTCCCTCCCTCCTTCTCCCTCCTCCACACCCCTAATGGGGCACACTCACAGCACCCAGCTGAGAAAAGGGGTGGCGGCAAAGGCAAACTGGGCTCCCCGAAGCCATTCCAGAGCATGGAATTGAAGGTGCAGGAAGGGGCAAAGCGGAAGTTACTCTGCACCGCCAATATTGTCCACCACTTTGAAATGAGTAGGTTTGAAAACGTCAAACATTTGTATTAAAAAGGTAAAAGGAACGGAGGGCTGGGGTCGTTACAGCGGAGAATCTCTCTCTCGGTCGCTCCCACGCAGGGAACCCGGGCTTCCTCGGGGTTCGCAGCTCCATCGCGCTCCCCTCCCGGGGTTGGAAACCTGCCCCGGGGTCCGCATCGGCCCGGCCACTTACCAGGGGCAGCACACTTAGGGCGACGAAGGTGCGGATCCTCCAGCCTGGAAGCCGGGCTTCCCGCCACCTCCGGCTTCGTGGGGCGCGCTCTGCCGGGGTCCCCGCCTCCCCGGTGGCCGGTACACTCGCTCCCCTCCGCGACATGGCTTTAGTAGGTGCTGGGCGTCCGGCCCGCTGCGGCCTCAAACTCTGGGAAAACCACGCCCGTCCGAGTCCCTCCGTGCGCTCAGTCCAGCGAAGAGTCCACTGTGCCCGACCGCCGGCTCGGCAATTTATGGCCCCGGGGTTGCACAATCCGGGCGGGGCCCTCGCCTGCAGGGAAGTTCAGGGGTAGGCGCCTGCGGCTCTGGTCGCACCTGTGGCCAGCGGTGTCGGGAAGCCGCGTACTGACGTTTTGGTTCCAGACCCCACAGTAGCTGTCCTTCCAGTGTGCAGAAAAGAGGGAACGGATCCACACTTTTCAAACTTGTGTTGCAAGCCCTTGCTTTGCCCGCGTGCGGCAGCCTGCATTTTCCTGGAGTTCTGAAAGCGTGTCCTCCGGTCAATTCTGACTCATGGCGACCCTATGTGTAGGACCGAGTAGAAGGACTATGCTATAGGCTTCATAGGCTTTCATATCGCTGGGGGCAGATCGCCGGATCTTTTCTCCCTAAGTAATGGTTGAGTTTAAGTCACAGAACGTGGGTTAGTAACCACTGGGCCGGCAGGGTCCCCGTGGGAAATCTCCCTGGCTCTTGAGAGTCACAGTTGCTGGGGACAGCGCTGGGGACAGCGGAGAACCACGAGCTACACGGAGCAAAGACGAGTAGAAAACTGGGGCTCAAACTAGCCGCTAGTCTTGTGGGGTGAGGCGCCCCCACTGCCTAGCCCTGTTTCCGACGTGCTGACCAGGAGACCATTTCCCGCCCCTGGCAAGGGCCCAGGACTCCTGTTGCGGGAGGACCTGAAGGCAAATTCTCAAGAACAGTCTTATTCAGCCTGGAAAGCTTAGAGGTGGCGCTTGCAGTGTGAGTTGTGCCTTGAAATAAAGGTTTGCGGGGGTGGGGGCGCCGAGGGGGCGGTGTACGGGGTGGGCTCCACAAAGTCTGAACTAGAAAGATTGGGGATTTTCCACACACGTTTTGATGTCCCCTTGTATGTATGGTCCAGTCCACTCTTCATTCAGTGTTCTAAATTACTCCACACTCTCAGAATAATTGAAAAATAAAAATGAAACTGTTCAGATTCGAGGAAAATTCTAAGGGTGGCCGGCAGGAAGGATTAAGCGCTTGAATGCGAATCTAAAGGTTGGTGGTTCAAACCCACCTCAGCGGAAAGATCTGGCAAGGGGCTTCCAGGAGTTTGAATCTACTCAACGGCAAGTTGTTAGAATCTATGTGATCAGAAGGACAGAGAGACTCAATGGTGGGACACAGGTTTATTGGAAGAAACCTGACAGGGGCCTCTGATCTGGGAAAAAGCCCTTTCTGTACAGACTAGCAGAGTTTTATAGGACTAGTCAAGGGGACACATTTGTGGGTGGGGATGTGTGTTTGGCTAATTCTGACAACCAGGGTCAACTGCAGGCCAGTGGGAAATGTTTCTTAGGGGGGTGTCTTTGCTGCCTGTGTAAGAAATCACTGAGCAGGATGTTTGGGGGGGGGGGTCGGGGGCAACCAGGGGTAGGTAGGTGGGTGAGGTTCTATGAGTTATTCTCCTTCCATACCAACTAGCACAGTGGTTCTCAACCTTCCTAATGCTGCGACCCTTTAATACAGGTCCTCATGTTGTAGTGACCCAACCATAAAATTATTTTCATTGCTACTTCATAACTGTCATTTTGCTACTGTTACGAATCATAATGTAGATCTCTGATCTGCAGGATGTATTTTCATTATTACAAACTGAACATCATGAAAGCATAGTGATTCATCACAAAGCAATGTGTAATTATATATTGTGAAATATTTATTTCTAATGACAAATGAATGAAATTTTGTCTTGAAGTATGGTGTAGCATGGGTAACAGTCTTCACGCTGGGCACTCTTATGTGGGCGTATCTGCATGTGAGCAGACCCTCCTGGAGATGGATCGAGGAGCGGTGTCTGGTTCCTAAGATCATCAGAAAGATGTGCTTTCTGGTGGTCTTAGGCAACCCCTGTGAAAGGGTCGTTCAACCCCCAAAGGGATTTCGACCCACAGGTTGAGAATCACTGAGCTAACAGGTAGGGTAGAAGGAAGAGGGGCATGGATATCTAGCTGGTTGCTTCCTGCTGGGTTCCGACTACTTGCTACCTGTGCTGCTGGGACTGAAGTAGGAGAATGCTTTGAGTTTGGTCTTGAAGTAGGAGCTGGAAGTGTGGTATCGTTGTCCTGCACGCCAGCTTCGTGACTAGACCTAAAATACAAGGGGCAAAAGCAATTAAGATATTAATTAATATATACATTGCTACTACGGAGCCCATTTCAGAGGGCCTGAGAGAAAATCCCAGGTGCCATTGGCCTGTTGCAGTTTTAGGCTCTGGTTTTCCATTTTGAGATTATTTATTGGACATCTCTTGACCATTGATATAAAAGTAAGTCTTCTTGGACACTGGGCCTCCACTCAAGTACTCCCTCAACACAAGAATACTTTCTTCTATTAAATTGGCATTCTATGATGCTCACCTTCCCGACACAACCGCTGA